CTTCTTGATCTACAGAACTAACTCCATTAGCTTGATACGAATCTTCGACAGGTGGAGACAATGATAAGATGCCCTGACCACCAAGCGATTCACTATGTAGTCTCTCCAATTCGTCCATTAATTTCAAACATTCATTTTCCACTTGTCGATGAGCTTCCATTAATTTTTCTTGCTCGGCTAAAATTTTTTTATTATCACTGGTGATAGAAACATTTTCACGAGTCAACTCTTGTACAATATGTTTGAGTCCGGTAATTTGTTCTTCATACGCTGTAACTTTTTCTTCAAATTCTTTAATTTTTTGCGTCATATCTTCTGTTGTTTTTGTAGATATGGCCAAATCTTTAATTTTTTTCTTCAATTGCTCGTTTTCTGTTTTAAATTTTACAGAATCTTGAGATGACACAGATAGGTCTTCAACAACCTTTAAATTTTCTGCATCTTTTTTCAATTGCTCTAACTCTGCAGTCTTGATATCAAGCTCGGATTTTAGTTGACCCGCATGATTTTCTTTATCTTCTAGATCCTTTTGGGCATTTTCACGTACTTCGATTAATTCTTTTCTCAAATTTTCAAGTGATTCCATCAATGCCGATTTTTCAGCTTCCGCATCTTTAATAATGTTTATCTTTTGCTCCTCAACTCTAGCGATGTTTACTTTGTATTCTTCTATGTCTGTAACTAACTGTGTACGTTCATTTTCATTCTGCAGCATGTTACCTTTTAACACATCCATTTCAGTGATAATATCCTGCCTCTCTTTCTCGTTATCTTGCAATTTTTTCTCTACCAATTTTTTTTCATCTTTAATAACATCCAATTCTCCAACAAGTGCACGCTTTTCGGATTGCGTATCAGATAATAATTTTCTCACTTCTCCCAATTCATATTGAAGCCTTTTAATGTCGCTCTCAAAGACTTCTTTAACCTTTTCAATTTCTTCGTCTGTATTAGCAGCCATAAGATTTTGCATATTATTTTTGAGAGCCGAAATTTCCTCTTGTTGCCTACTAACAAGAGCTTGTGAGTCTCGCACTTCGTCCTCTAATTGATAAATGCGCTCACGGGACTTTGCATCCGCACGCATCATATGTTCCAAACCAGTTTGTAAATCAGCCAATTCGTTTCTAAGACCCTCTTCCCTCTTTGTCTTTGATTCTGTCAACTCTTTTTGCAACAATCTAAGCCTCTCTATTTCTTTGTTAGCAGCGCTGAGTGCTTCCTCTTTCCTAATCAATTGATTTTTTGTATTTTCCATCTCTCTTTTAGTCTCCTCGATTGTTTTCTCGTACACATCAATAGCTTCCACACCAGCAGATCGTAATTCTTCGGCCTCTTTTTCCAACAAATTAATTTTAGCTTCACGTTCTGAAATTCTATTTGTTGCCTCCTCATATAATGATATTGTTTCTACACCTGCTTTTTTTAAGTCTTCAACTTGTTGCTCGAGCGATGAAACTCTTAATTCATAAATGTTGATTGTCTCCTGACCTGCAGATTTTAACTCGTTAATGGTCTCTTGAAGTGCACGCATTTTGCCATCTGATTCAATTTGAATACTTTCAACATTTCCCGTTAATTGAACAATTTCAGTGGATTTTTCTTGAATAACCTTCTCCAGCTGAGCAACTCTATCAGAAGACTCTGTTTGCGAATTTTGAGTTCCAAGGCTTGCAAGCTGTTCTATCTTGTCTGCACGTTCCGTGTTAATTTTTTCCAGCTCGGCAATCTTTATTTGATACTCATTTGATTGTTTAGTCACCTTGTTAAGCGATTCTTCAAGTGATTTAATCTGTTCGTCTTTCTGTTCAACTAGTTCAGTCAACTGCAAAATTTTATCGCTCATAAAATCATCATCTGCGATCTGAGAAAGAGAAGTGCCTGGTCGTCCCTTTGAAGAATCTTGAAGCTTTTTTGTCAATTCTACTATCTTTTCGTTTAATGCTTTTTCGGCTTGAGTTTGAAGTTTCCTGTCATCAAGTTTCAAGCGTGCATTTTCTCCTTCCAATACATCAATTTTCATTTGTAACTGTTGAATCCGAAGAGCTTGTTGATCAAA